ATGATTGTAATTTTCCCCCCCCCCCCCCCCCCCCCGTTACTGTTCACTACATTGCTTTTTCTTCCTCTTTGTGTGAGTTTATTTAAAAGAGAATCTCTTTTGTAACGACTGTTTGCAGTTTAAATCAATAAACCCCAAGTTTTTTCAAGAAACTGACAGTGGAGCTGGTTTTACTTGCAAAAATCGAGGGGCTGGTTTTAGACAACCACTCAAACACAGATACTTCCCTCCTCTTGACCCTTGTCACTACATTGCTTTTTCTTCCTCTTTGTGTGAGTTTATTTAAAAGAGAATCTCTTTTGTAACGACTGTTTGCAGTTTAAATCAATAAACCCCAAGTTTTTTCAAGAAACTGACAGTGGAGCTGGTTTTACTTGCAAAAATCGAGGGGCTGGTTTTAGACAACCACTCAAACACAGATACTTCCCTCCTCTTGACCCTTGAGGTGCTCACCGTGTGCTCAGGCATCCCTCCATCATTCCTCACTGATTGAATACGTCAGCCCTGCAAGTGTGTGGGTGCACAGATCAATGGCAGCAAATACCTGATGTGACCTACCCTGGTGGCCTCTAACCCTCTCTGTCTCTTGTGGAGTCCTTGTCCCATCCTGAGTCGCTTGGTCTGTTCCTGCAAACTTCTTTCTGATCAATGTAGCTTAAACCTTGGATTGCTTTTGTTCCTCATGTGCCCTGTGTTCCTGCACAGCTCCTTCCCCCTCAAGGAGAGCCTACGCGTGTTTTGAGTGAGGCTAAAGTGGGATGTTGAAGTGGTACAGATTGCCCAAATCTCAGGCCAGGCTTGGTAGTGGTACTGGTCTGCTTTGGCTGTTTGGTGTTTTGCATGGGAGAGGAACATGGACCCCCAGCAAAGTCTCGGTGTACACACAGATCACCCTGCTATCACATTCAAGCCCTCGTACCCCTTGAAGTATCAGTCATCAATCCCAGAGACTTCTGAAGCCAGTGGTTTTGTTTAGGGACACGTCTTTGACAGTGCTGTTCATGGTGTAAGTCTTGTGTTTTCACCATTTGAGCTCTCCTCTGGAGCAAGCTTGGCGCTCTTCTTCATCTGAAACTGTTGCAGCTCTCTTCCAAATTGGGGGTGGAATATTGCTGCCGAACCACCGATCCTTCAGCTGTCTTGACATGTCTCAATGTTCAGGAGAGACATTTCCTAATTCATGTTGGAAAAGTTCCTGCCAAACAAAAGCTGCAGGATACCTCAAGGCTTACACCAACATACCTTCCCTGCTGTTGGCTTTGTGCAACACACTTTCTTGCATGGTCTGGCAATAAAGGTGAGCTAGGTGGAGGAAAGATGGTGGAAGAGGAGTGTGGCTGGTAGAAGCTGGTTCCCATGAACAGTGCAAAAGCTGTATGGGGAGTTTGCTTGGCAGATGCTGATGTAACTAGCACGTGGTGCGGTCTGCGTGCTGATCCCCGAGAGAAGAGCCTGGGCACAGCCCCGGTACTGCTCAACGGCCTTCAGATACCTTCTGCTGACCACAGCCTTGCCCCTGGGCACAAAGGCGATGGGGCCCACGTGAAAGATGGGCTTCTGCCTGGAAGACCCATGCCCGACTGCAGCAAGCACCCAGGCTTGCCTCCTTCCCTGCTGCTGGAAGCCAAGCCATCAGCCCCTGAAGAGCGAGGCATATCTGATCTGGAGAGGATCTCAAGCCTATCGCAGGACATGCACGTGGAGCTTGAAACTGCTCGCTTCCTCTGTGGACTTTCTGTGCAGCTCTTCAAACAAATAGTCTTCGCCCAGTTAATAATTGATGAAGAAAATTGCTGTATTAGTTGCACGGTGCTATTGGTATGACAAACTGGGAAGCTGTGCTAAAAGTAGGTCTTCGCTCACGTTTCTTGTGTACTTCCCTTGTCCTTCTAGTGCACTGGTTCTGGGAAGCCAGCACCATTTTTCTCCTGTGAATTCATTAATGATAAATACTCTATCACTCAGTGTTTTGCTTTTTGAAACTAACCTTGAGCTAGGTCACGCAAGGGATAGAGAAGAGCAGAACAGGCAGCATCAGAAGTTTACTTTCTGTAATTGAGAAAGAGAGAGAGAGAGGGCGCATGCAAGAGCCTCCAGCAATGTAGGGATTTGCCTGATCTGATACCATTAGCATTCATTGTGGCTTGGGTATATAGCAGCAGCTAGTCTGGAGGGGCTTCTTCCTCCCTGCATTTACCATGGATGAGTTATCCATGCTGTTTCTCATAGGGTTAGCATCTGTGTGCCCTAGCAGTTCGCCATAGTTGGTAACAGCCTAGCCAAGGCTCAGAAAGGTAAATAGCCTTTCCTGGCATGACAGTTTTGAGACACACGTTCCTCTGACTTGAGGACTCCTCCATGCTCTGGCTCACTGATTTAGTGCACGGGACTCTCAGAGTGGCCAGGAAGAAAGGGCTGGCCTGTGCACTGGCACAGTTGCTCCTGACGTGCCTGGTGTGCCAGGGCAGAAAGAAGCACCCACAAGGACAAGACACCTGTCAACCCATGTAGGGTGGCATGGCAAAGTGTGCCTCGGTGCACTTTACAGGTTGCACTTACAGCTCTTACTGTGGGGCAGGGGGACACCTATGGTGGCTCTCGCTGCTCCTCATGTACTTTTTGTTGTAGTCATGGATGCTTGCTGTGGGCTCCTTGTGAGAAGACTGGGTCCATGCCTCTGGGCTGGAGGCATTAGCTGTCAACATGTTTTGGCTTCGAAGTCAGGTGACTCTAGTGCTATCCACCTTCAACATGTCTAGCTGTCTTAGGAAATTACAGCCAGCGTGTATGGCTGGCTGTGCCAGTTGCCTCTTGGTAAGGAGTAACCCAATGACTTTCATCTGCAGAGCTCCAGGTGGCTCAGATCCCACTCCGGTAGCTGCCTCCCTCCTTCCTAATTCCTACAACAGCTGTAGGTGTCCCAGCAACTGTACTGGCTACTCCCTTGCTATGGGCTAGATGTGGCTTTTGTACCAAAACATCTTCAGTTCTGCAATCGGGGGCTGTAGGCTGTAGAAACAGAGGCCGCCTCATTTCCCAAACTTCTCTGTAGGTGAGGGCTGCAAAGTCAAATAGGGTTTCTTTGTTGTTGTTTTTAAAGGCAGTTAGGAACTTTACTATCTAGTTTTGGCCAACCTTTGTTTAGCATCACTTGTACATAGGCATGGTGTGCCAGATTGCAAGTAACAAAAAATACCGTTTAAAAAGAACCCTGAAATGCTCCAAGTTTCCTGGTCCTGACAGAATTTGCCTCATCAGCATAGTCATGAAATTGGGAGGCAGAGAAGGAAAGAACTTGGAGAAGCGGAGAACAGTAGAAATATGCCTGGAGGACTGTTACAAGCTGGCTTGAATTTTCAGTCTGTACGGTTCCTGCGCAGGGAGGGCAATGGTCTGCGAATGGGACTTGGAGCTGCTGTTGCAAATCATGTAAGGAGGACCTGGCTCTGCCAGGCCTTGCACAGCAGAGGAGAGGTGGTGGTGGGGCAGGAAATCATGGGGTCACTGTTAGAGACTGGGAGCAAGGCAAGAGCTAGAGATCAAGTCCACACAGCATGGGGATAGCAAGGGTGAGAGAGAAGCCATGCTGTCTCAAGTCTGAAGACTTCTTAACTAATGGTATTTGGATGCATGAAGGCTAATGAACTGGGTCTCTCCAGTGGAGCTCAGGAGCAGCGGCATTGAGGGGAAGGTCCAGATAATGTAGCCTGCTGGATACTATCTGATGACTATGCCCAAGGATATGAATGAGTATTAAGATGCAGTAATACATGCAAAAACCACAGCATGCCCTTTACACTTGCTAATTGCTGCAATTTGTGTGGCTTGTGTTGGGGAAAGCTAGCATGTGCTTGAGTCTGGATAAAGAGGCTTTGGGAGAAGGTGCAGTGGACAGTGTGTGAGCAAAGAGGCTCCTGGCTCCAGTGCTGGAGGTGTTGCGGGGGCTGGAGGTTGCAGACGTGTCCAGGGGTGGCACTGACACAAAAGTACAACCCCAATACCTGCCTGGGAGGGAGAGAGGGGCCTGTGCTTGAGCGAGGCTCCTCGTGCCCTTCCTAACAACAGGCAAACATCAAGACGTGTGGTCTTGTA